ACCTGCCACCGACTTCCTGATTGGCCAGAAAGGCAGCTCCATGCTTCCTCGTCACCTGGTGACGAGAAAGCAGGGAGACGGTTCCCTGCTAATCGGGAAGCCGGGTGGCGAGTCTTTTCCTAATGGGACTTCCGGTATTGGTATTCGGTATCGCCGAGTACCGAAATAAAAATATCGGTACTCGTACTCGATACTGAAAAACCGGTATCAGTGCATCCCTAATTATTATTCACTTTTAATTATTGTTATTGACTGTGTGTGTTTTATGAGTGTGTGATGTATGTCTGTGTTTTTTAATAAGTGTGTGGGTTTTATTCAGTGTGCGTGATGTGTGTGTGTTTTACGAGTGTGTGATGTGTGTTTTTTATTCAGTGTGAGATATGTGTGTGTTTGTAATAAGTGTATCGATATGTGTGTGTTTTTAATTGGTGTGTGATGTGTGTGTTATTGAGCGTGTGTGTGTTCTTTAATGAGTGTGTGTGATGTGCAGTGGCGTAACAACCGGGGGGGGGCAGGGGGAGCACTTGCCCCGGGCGCAGGACTGAGGGGGGGCGCCGTCACGACCCCCGCTAAACGAAGCCCCTGGCTCCCTAGGGTGATATGTGTGTGTGTGGGGGGGTGTACAGGGACAATGATGGCATGCTTGGACTTGTAGTTCCTTAGCTGATATATATGTGTGGGGGTGGGGGGTACAGTTCTAGTGGATGTTTATATAATATGGGGGGGGGGTGTGGAAAAAAATGTTCTGCCCCGGGCGCCCATAACTCTGGTTACGCCACTGGTGATGTGTATGTTTTAATGTGTGTGTCTTTCATTATGTGTGTGATTCATTACTTGTGTGATGTGTGTTTTGTTGAGTGTGTGATATGTGTGAGTTTTATTGAGTGGGTGTGATGTGTGGGTGTGTTTTATGCAAGTGTATGATATTTGTGTGTTTTATGAGTGTGTGGTGTGTTTTTTGAGTATGTGTGATATGTGTGGGTGTGTTTTTATGTATGGGTATGTTTTTATGAGTGTGTGATGTGTATTTTATATGTGTGTGATATGTGTGTGTTCATGAATGTATTATTATATGTGTGTGATTATACGTGTTTGTATCTGTGAGTGTATAAATGTTTGAAAATATGTGTTTCCCTATTTTGCCTAAGGCAGTGATGCTCAAACTGAAGCACAATACCTAACTTCTTTTCAGTGTTGGCACTTTGAGATAAATAAATTGATCTTGCATTGCAGTTTGGGCACTCAGGCTCAAAGACGTTCGCCATCACTGCACTAAAGTGAACTTTCAGAGCCAACTATTTATACTGTATATAATCCATAATTCTTGTTGTGGTGGTGTTCCCTTTATAAAAAGTGGTCACACCGTTAGAGGAGACACCAAACACACCTACGGGTCTATTCACTAAGCTGCCGTAGGCAGCCGAGTGAATGACCGACCTGAAGAGCAGTGAACACTGTTCAGCTATTCACTTCAGGCTGGTACGGCTAATTTCAGCCGTACATCGGCTGAAATCAGCCGTACCTCGGCGTGCTTTGTATGGCTTCGGGTCGGCCGAACATGCTCAGCATGTTC